TAAATATACGACAGCTATACATATAGAGGGCTCAGAAGTCGATCAGTGTAAGTCAGCAAATATTTGTTTTGAGGTAAATTGAGAAAACAGCAATAGAAACAAAATATGAGCCAGTGTATAAGCAATTTTTTCGCAAAAAAAGTAAAAAAATGTAAACATATCAGCAACTGTAAAATTTCAAGTTTTGATAAAATGTGAATTTGTTTTCATAAATTTTTTTTTTTTTGATTTGTCAATAGCTTTAATTTTGAATTAAAAACCAAATTCAAAAATTTTTTTAATATATGTATTATATATGTATTATTAATCTATATTTATTTATATCTGATACCTTGCCTCTTAAACAGTTTTTAATCTAAAACGATACTCGCCCAAAAATTCAAAAATTTTGCGATGATTTTATTATATATATGTATTTACATATAATTGAGAGTTTTAGATGAAGAAGGTTTTCACTGGCATATAAAAGAATGCATGTATGTATACCAAATTGTATATATAAGTAAACACAATATATAATTTTTTCGATGTTTTTACTTTTTGACTAAGTGTCAAAGGAGCAATATTGCAAGTTAAAAATTGTTGAGTAACAAAAATCTGAGTTAAAAAATCTTGAGTACAAAAATTTTAATGTCGGGGTTTAATGTTAGTTCTAATGTTAACGGCAGAAACATATTCGATATGTACTTTTATCAAATCACAGCTCACTTTACCGGGACTCAATAACGGCTAAAATTAAAAAAAAAATCATTAATAAAAGATTGTTAAAGCCCTTTTATTTCGAAATTTAAAAAGATATAGCCTGTATAGATAATATAAACAAACAAGTCCATCTTTGGAGAAATCCTCTTCACATATACGAGTATTATAAAATTTTTAGGTGAACTTTCATTTGAGTATGTAATTCAAATACACTATATACTTAAATGAAAATAACTTTGGGGAATTTTGGAGTAGAAAATTTGAATAATTTGGAGAACATATGAAAGTGCGGCTTTTATGTACAAAAAAATTAATAGAATACAATTTTAAGTTATAATTTACAATTATATAAATTTGAATTTATCAGATTTGAAGAAATAAAATGTGGGTACCAGATTTCTTCTACAAAAGTAATTCAAAATATTGAAAGCCAAAGTTATACTTTTATTATGTACTTCTTCTCAACTACAATTTCAGAATACTTTCTACTATTTTTCTTAAAATATAACTAATAAACATAAAAGGTATAAAAAATGTGAAATCAGTAAAGCAGAAAATTTCTGTTTCATAATTTTCTCTGAACCTACGAGTATATTAATAACTACCGAATAAAATAAAAAAGCGCCATAAAAATTTATAAAGATTTCATCAGATTAAAATCGAGAATCAAAAACAAAAAAAAAACTTATATCTTAACTTTAAATACATATTTCGTCATTTTATTCGAAAACAGGGTAAAGAAGGACGGTGAAATAAAAAGTGAATCAACATAATATTTAAACATATGGTTCGCAATTACGAACGTTAATTATTGAATGTTATTCCTTATTTTTGAAGTTTTTTTATTGATCTACTTTAAAAATATTTGGATAATCAAATTTAAAACAATTACATTATTATTGATTTGCAAAATATTGACAAAATTTTAATTAAATACGAGTACAATTATTATGATTTCAATAATTGTATTATTGAAATCATAACATTCCATATACAAACATCATTAAAACATATACATATACAAATTTACATGATATGTATGTATCTTTTTGCACTATGTTTGGAATAAAATCATGCTTATTTCAAAAATAAGTTTTAATGCTCAGATTTACAAGGTACAGAAACGTTTTTACTTCTTTATTTTTTTTTATCGATTAAAAAAATAACAAAAGTAATTACTAATACACTCACGTTTTGTTAGTTAGTTTGTTAGGGAGGGGGGTGTTAGTTAGTTAGGGAGAAGGCCCATCGGCACCCCTCCACCGCTCACCCAGAGAGCTCCTCTAATCCGTTGAATCGATATTCTCCCAAGAAGCACTCCGCATCAAAGTGGAGCACTCACTTAGCACGTGATGAACACCCTCAACCGCGCCGATGTCTTGGCATCTCCGGAAAACATCCGAATACCCAGCCTCTTGGCCTCTCCTAATAAACACAAAGCCACAAGGCCCTCGTCATTGCGCAAGTCCACCCAGCACACCAAAGCCAGCTTCGTTTTCTTCTAGTTTCCTCATCTATAATGTTCTGCAACTGCACGATCAATCTATAATGTTCTGCGACGGAAGCGCCGACCAGTACATAGTCGCAGTGCTGGCCGCCGCCGTCCCCAATCTAGCTATACTCAAAAAAAATAACTGTAATTTTTACCAAGTATTTGGTAAAAAACGCTTTACAGTCATTTTTTGGTAATATTTGCAAATTTTGTTAATTTTACCAAATTTTACCTAAAATTTTCTTATAAGAACAAAAAAATTTAGTAAAAAATACAAAGAAAGAAAAATAGTAAAAATATATTTTACAATTAATTTAGTAAATTTTTCAAAAAAATTTGGTGAAAATCACATTTTTTTTGGTAAATGTTAAAAATTGATTTGTGTCAAACAAATATGTTAATTTCACAAAGAAATTTGGTAAAATATTACCATGTTTTTTAGAGTCGCATACACTTCGTCCGCGTGCAGCACAACCATTTTAAACGCGATTTACTCAAAATTATACCTTTTCTTACACTACTCTTTTATTTTTGGTTTTCTAGACTTACCAAAATCTAATCTAATATACCAGACTCGGTGTATGCGACTCGGTTCGTCGATGTGAACTTTTATCATGCTAAAACAACATCAAAGTGTTTGAGTAGGAGGCTCACTAAAAAGGACTTCCACATCCTATAGCAAAAAAATAAAATCATTCACCTGCAAGAGAACAAATGTAAGTTGAGTAAATATTTAGGTTATGGCTTTGTGGTTTAATAAATCGATTAAATATTTTCCATTTCCGAAATTTTTTACGTCAGGCCTGGTATCGTGGGGGTCGAGGTTTGGTAAACCAGCGGTAGTCAGGGGTTAATTTCTATACGCATTTCTATTAGCGTATAGAAATTCAATGAATACTACAAGAAGAAACACAGAGAACTCATTCTATAGTGTGAGGAAGCACCAGTATCATCCCTGAGGATGACTGCCTATTTTTTGCAAAATTAAAATTTTTTTGCAAAATAGTTAAGATGCAGTTATAAAAGGGCTTGGATCCTACAATTTGTATGGTAACCTCTCAAATAACGGACTAACATGTGTCCGACAGGATTTCTTTGTTAGATTCCACGGCTATCGTTTTTAAAACATCGAACTGAGTGTACTCTTCGAAGGAAATCTTTAGAGTTCCTATATAACAAGGTGAACAATGTTATTTGAATATACAGAAAATAAGACTTTCTAATAACAACCATTATCGCATAACAAAATAAGGAAATACAATTTCCCTGTAGACCTAAAATAAAGTTTTTTTTTAGAAAAACTATTGAAAGCAAGAGAATTCGGTTCTGAACGATATTTTTTACATAATTAGATCAATTAAAAATAAATTGGAGAAAACTTTATTTTAGTTTTTCAGTATTACAAAGAACTTTAAATATAAAGGTTTCTATAACAACATAGCCAAAATTATCAACAGAGAATGTTATATTTTAATTACTCCGAAAAGCACGAGAAAATGTGGTAAAAACTTTTTTAAATTAATAAAGTTTTTAAAAACAAGAGCACGTTATTTTTAAAAATATTTAACATATGTATGCAGTTCTATTTTACATATGCTTACATTCAAAAACCTTTTGCGAAAATTCAAATAATTTAAATGGAGAGCTTTTGAAAAAATGTGTACATATGTACAATATCGTGATATTTTTTAAAATGTTAAAATCTTTTTTACTGAAAAAAAGAAAATAACAATAAAAAATATGACGCGTTTAATGGAATTAAAAAAATTAAAAAACGAGAAAAAATAGAGTTAACCGTGATACGCGTACGAATTTGTTATCCTATATGCGAATAAATATGCCATTCAAAGAATTTTATCAAACACATTGGCCTTACTAATATTGTCGCTTGTGTGAAATTTCAATACCACAGTTTTTACAGTTTCTGAAATATAGTCAAATAAATTTGACTATATTTGTGCGCAAAACTGTGCGCAAATTGTCCTTTCAATGTTTTCGCATTAACAATAAGTTAAGGTATAAGTTAGGTTAAGTTAAGTACATAGTTTTATGTATGTATATCAATATTTAAAAAAACTATATACTAAATTCTTTTGATCATTATTTTCTTAAAAACGTAAAAAATAAAACAGTAGAGTATTTTTTTTGAAATTTTTTTAGTTTTATCTATGTATAATTTAAGAACAAAAATTGAAATAAAAGCTTTATTTAAGAAAAACTCTCTGTACAACAGTATAAAATTGCACCTTTTCTTTGAATCCTTTCTTTAATTATTGTTAATGCTAACTTTGGTTGCCAGTTCCAAATAATATCGCAATTTTTCCTGCACTAAAGATTTTTATTGAGCTACATAATTATATCAATTTTATGAATATCTTTTTCCTGAATGATACATATATATGTATAAATTACCTCCATTTCACGAAATTATGAAGCTTTATAAAGAGCACTATTCTCTTGAAAAAATCAAGGTTTAGTTTGGAGATTCACTTCTAAGATTGAATAAAATTTGAATTTCTTAAAATGAGATAGGTGAAATAGAAAATTATGAAAAAAGTGTAAAACCGCAATTGCCTTTAATATTTTATTATACTTTAAAAATTAAGAAATAATTAAAAGCCTGCTGCTCATATTCTTAATCCTAATAAAAAAAAATCCAACAACCGTTACTAATTTCTATCGCGATTATTTACAAAGTTAAAAGGTAGATGTAATATTAAAGATTGAAGGGTTACCTAAATAATCATTTTAATTTTATAAAAATAACTGAATAGTTTTGTTTAATATCAAAGTTAAAATATTGTTCTTATTGCAATTTTTATTTTGTGAACCATAGTAGTAAATTAAATTTGTTGCTTTTTGTTTTTTTTTTTTTATTTCCTTAGAACCCAATTCAAACGCATTTAATAGTGTTCAGTCATTACGTAATGCATGCACATTTATATAAATTCCATTCATATTAAACTTAAAATTACCTATTTAATTTTACGTTTTTACAATTTATCAGTATCTTTTCATATTTATAAGATTATGTAAAATAATTTATTAAAATTTTCTTCGGGCTTGACGCATGCTCTTCTCAATTTCAAATTGGCGGAGATCTGTCCTTTGAAGAAAATCTTGTCTTTCTAAATAGCTACAAAATATTTTAATATTATTTTTTTTTTTTAAACAATTAATGTTAAATCATATTACCCATCCTTTCCTTTATTAAAAGTTTGCAATTCTTCTTTTAGATCTTCTTTCTCTTTGAAACCTTCCCAATCAATTTTACTTTTTTCTAATACCGATATTTTTGATTTTTTACCTATTTGATTTAAAACGGCGCCTAAACCACCGCCAGCCCTTTTAAAAGGAACTTTACAAAATTTGTTAATTTGCTTATTGGTCGTTAACTCTGTTTCATTTTTAGGCAGTTCAATTCGTTTGTTTTTTAATTGAGCTACTTCTCCAGCAAATTCTACTATTTCCGTCACGTCTGACTTTTTTGGCTCAATTTTTTCTGTTTGAGGTTTTTGTTTTGCAATTATAGAAACTTCTTTTTCTAAACTTTTTCTTTTTTCATCTCTTGATTCCGATTCTGTTTCATTAACATCATTCAAAAAACTAGCCCATAAATCATCTGATCTCTTTTTTTCTTCTTCTTCAGAAATATTACTTTTTGAAGGGCTTTCAATAGTATTACACGAGTTATTGACAGCGGTTTTTGTTCCAGAATTAACTCCTTTCTTTTTACCGGATATTTTCACTTTCTTCCTTTTTTCCTCTTCCTCACTTTCCGAATTTTTGTAATCGGGTTCTTCCTCGCTTGGTATATCTGAATCTGATTCATTATCTGGACAGAAATCTTTATCGCTTTCATCACTATCAGAGGGATAATCTTGATCTTTATTCATTTTATTCATACACGATTATAACTTAGCTTAAAACTGTGGATAATATTATTAATTGTTTCTATCAAATAAATTTATTTCTATAAAAACTCAACCTTTTCCTTCTGTCATATACACTGCAGAATGGAGTTATCTGTTTCAATTATTTAGCTGCAAAGGCATTTATATTCTGCAAAATTCACAATAAATTTATTGTATATTACCAACTTGATTGCATACCGATTTAATTAAACAATTTCTTCAACTTACACGTACTTGCCAATTGATTATCTGAAAATACTGCAAAAAAGTCTATACTAGAAGATTAGCCTAAGTTAAATCATTCAGCTGAAAATTATGCTAATGATCTTAATTAACTTTTTGTAAAAGTCAATCTTTATAATCATTTATATTTAAGCATAATTTCATCATTAAATATTTTAAGTTAATGTTTACGTATTCTAAAAAAATAATTATTTTTGTTTTAACGGCGATAGTAACACTCGAAAACCAATTTTAACATTGCGCTTGACATCAAATGCAGATGGAAGCACGCAAATTATTTTTGAATTATCTCAACATGAAAAGAATAAAAATGCAGATATGCTTAAAAGATCACCAAAGATGAATATAGTCATCTATAATGCGATAAAAAAATATCGCATTATTTTGAATTATATGCGATAAAAAAATATCCATAACATATTTACATAAAACGCAAAAGCATGGTCGTGCTATAAAGAAAAATAATGACAGTATACTTAAATTGTTTCACTTTTTTATTTCTCAACATTTTCTGCTCATGTAGCTGTATTACAAAAATTTTTTTAGGTTATGTAAATATTTCAATTTATAATAGAAAAATATGAATTTTTCGTGATGATTTATTTTTATCTACATCATATTTATTTTGGAAAAATAATACTATATATTAATAAAGATATAATAAAGCTAAATTAATATTCTGAATTAAATAGAATTAACTAGCAGTTAATCCTTATTCACCAGAGTTTTCAATAAAAAACAGACTTTATTTTTTAGTGAACGAATTATGTAACATGCAATATATTCGCGCCGATCATGTCATGATACTACAGTGTTAAGTCTGATATCGATTGATATCTTTGCGGTTCTAAGGAAGGCCTGTATTATCAGCACGTTTTTACTAATGTAATGCATAAATCACTTCGTGTTAGTTTTCTAAAGAACATTAGTGCCACTTTCCTACAACTGATGTTTATTTTTATTTGGCAATATTTCTCTGTATGTTTTGCCATTTTTAATTATGTAGAAAGTTTTGACATTTGCAGCAAGAAGGTGTTTTTATTGGCAAAACTGTTTGCAAACCCACCTATTTTTATACTTTTTTCGTAAACTATGAATAGTGCCCAGTGCATTCGGACCCAAAAATCGTAATTTGCCATTTTATTTGTTTAGATGAAAAAAAATCAATATGACATATGAAATATAATAATATTAATAGAATACTACCATAACCTCGCTGACATCTTTATATTATAGGAGTCTATGAATAACCTTCACAAATATAACTGAATAATATTAAAATAAAAGTTTTTTTCGGTGCTGTCGTAATATTTTTGATAAATACTATAAAAATTGTACATTTATTCTATTCCGAAAGATTTATTAACTGCCATAAAATTTTAGCCAGCAAAATATTAAAATGCGATAAATAGTACGGACTAAAATATTTTCGGAAAGCTAGCATACGTTAGAAAATAACCTAAGTACATAATATAAAGTCCTAAGTTGCAAACAGCACTGTAAACTTGAATTTAGTGAACATCTGAAATGTTGAAAGATTTTCAATATCCACGATTTCAGCCTCCTTTTCTGTCAATCTATTATTCTAATTATGATTTTCTTCTATATATTTAAGCTGAGATAAATTTAGATTCTTTCTAAATTTATCTTTAGTAAATAATTTCTTACTCGATACTCGAATTTTAAAACAAAATGCTTTCCCATTGTTATTTTTTGAAACAATTTTCCCGTTGTTAAATTGTGAATCATTTTTAGTATATACTTCTTGTGCTTACAATTTATCTTTAACGATTTATTGAATTAAAAGAATTTTTTTTAAAATTTAGGAAGAAAATATTTTACAAAGCCATTAATTTTAAAATATTTAGAAAAGTAACTTGTCGGATAAAAAATATGTGAAAAAAAATTATTGTGAATAGTCCTTAGTAGACAGTTTGTGAATGAAGAATAAGTTTCACTCAATCAATATAAACTTCAACTTGACATGCAGTTAAAACACATATGTATGTACCTCACCTATATATATATATAAAAAAAAAAGTACGACGACAGAACTTGTGAAAATAGATTTTTATATTTCAAATATTTTCCTTAAAAAAAGTTGAATTTATATTAAATATTCTAAAATTTAATCATCCAAAAGTCTAGTTTTATTTTTAATGCACCACAGCAAAATCAATTATATTCAAAAGTGAGATATTTTTTTATGTTAAGGAAGAAATAATATATATATAAGGTATTTTTAATCTTGATTACATTTACGAACAATTTAATTTTGAAATTACATATTCATGCCTTTAAATATTTCTTTTATTTTTTAATTTATTAGAAATTATTATGTTTTTCGTATTCAAGGCATATAGTTTGCCTTCGAATTTTACCAGATATTTAAAGGAAACAAAACAAATTTTATAATTTTATTTAATTAAAATTTGCGTAAATTTTGTATACAACATAATATGTAGATCTAATTGACGTTATTATTTTTGCAATTACTTTTAAAATAGAATTTTAAAGGTAATTTTTTTTAAGGTAACTTGGTAAGTCTCACTTGTAAATAAAGAGATAATAATAAAATTGTACAAGTAACTAAAAATACACAATTTTAAACTTTTTTTTTGTGAAACACATTTACTGTTGTTATTTTTTTAATTTCATATATCCATATATAATTGGAAGAGATATTTTTATAGAAAAAATTTCGGTATATAAGATTTTAAAAGTTATAAGTTATTTTTTTATGAAAATTAAAAAATTTTTTGAAAAAATTAAAAAAGAAGCTTCAAAAACAAATTTGTTAAAACAAAAAAAAACTTACATGTATGTTTGTATATGCAGTACATAAGTTTTCTCTTACCTAAATACATATTATTCCATATTATCAGATTATACTTTTGTAGGTACCTACCTACCTACATATACATATATTTTTTTCTCACTAATTTCGAAAATTATTTTCCTGTTTTTAATTTATTTTTTTTATTTTCAGGTTAATTGAAGGATATTGAAAGAAAGAAAACTTGCAAGAATAGAATTGCGAACTATGAGAAAATACTTAAAAAATTTTAAAATAAGTAAATTGCATCTTGTTGAAGAAGTTTTGAAACTTCTCTTAAAATCGTCTAATACATTCAACATACACATTATTAAACACAAATAAAAAGGAAATTAGCAAAATAAGATTGAAATTATAGGATTGGTCGGTGCCTAAAATTATTAGTTATAGCCAAATTACTTTCACTTAAACAACTTATACTGGTTCAAATGATATTAATAATTTGTCTACCAGCTTTTTAATTGATCAAACCCTATTGCAATAACTTTTATCGCTACCCATGTAACATATGTGAGTATATTGACATATATATACACATAAATATATCTGTATAAAATATGCAAGTTAAGTATATTTAAATAGCAATAAGAGGAACGACGGATCAATTATTACAAAGCCCTTTAATAAAAATTTCTTTGCCATGCAAAAATTTAAATAAAGATTTCAGATTAAATTCTATTCAAATCATTTTAACAAAATTCAAAAAAGGAAAACAAACATAAATTAAAAAAAATTTAAAACAATAGTATTGTAGGCATATAAAACTTATCATTTAAACGTTAATGTTAAATAAATAATGTGTAATGTCTGCAAATTCAAAATTTCCTGAAATTTGGTACAGTATATTTATATGGACAGTATTTTCATCAATATTTATTCACACATGTGCAGCTATAGTGTCATTTTTAACATTACGCAAACATAAATTTGGACGTTTTTTCTCCGTGCTAATATTAGTGACTGGTTTTGTATTACCAGTTACAACGGGTTTAATTAGCAGTGCTATAATTGCCTTAGTACATTGGGCAGCAACGGTACCATCTCACACCGATTCAGATAGATTTGTTTACCAATTTAATGAAATCTATGGTATTATATATGGTGTTGGACAAACAATATTATCGGCATGTTTGGGTTTCACACGAATATTAGCAACGCTTTAAATTTAAACTTAGTCCTAATTTCAGATGAAAAAATGTTTAGGGAATTTTTTTGTTTTAGATATTGGAATCATTTTTTATTGATAAAGGCAAGGCGAAGTATTGCCACACAAAATCATAAAAGAAAAGTTCGTTTAAAATTCAACAATCGACTATTGAATAAGTATAATAAACAATTATAAAACAAAAAATATATATGAAACAATATCTATAAATTAAAGTAATATTACGTTTTATTAGTAATATATATTAAAATATATAATAAAAAAAGGTGAATTAAATAAAAAATTAATTAAAATAAATAAAGTATTTAATCATTATAGTCATCAATATTTTTAAGTGAAATCATCAATATATAAAATGATAAATATATTTTATGCATGAACTTTGTTTTGGTGGTCTTTATAGCTTGTTCATACTTTTTTATTTGTTTTATATTATTTGTAAAATTATCAAAGTTAATTTTGAGAAAAAGTATGTTAATATTTTTTTTTTAAATGCTATAATAAAAAGCATATGTATATAATATATAATATTTAATATATTCTCATTATATATAAAATAGTATAATTTTTAACAGATATAGTAAACATTCATAAAATTAAAACTAATGGTGTAGAAAGAATTGAAAGAAAATTAAAAAAAGCATATGAATGTTTGTAAATATTACATATGCTTTTTCATATTTTAATAATTATAAATATTTAAAATACATAATTAATTTGTTAAACCTATCATTTGTATCATAAAAATTCGCTAAAATTTACCTAAAATTGTATACATACTTTTATTATTCGGTCATTTCTACCATTTATTTTAAGATTTTACATTCATTAATTTATAATTAAATTTTTTTAATTAATATAAAATGAGAAAATTTTTGGAATTTGTTTTTAAATTTTCTCCTTTATTATCACTATTTTGTTGTAAATAATAAACTGCAAACAATATAGTAATTTAAAATTATTCAAATTTAATTCATTTCTTATAAAATTAGGTACACATAATTTTTATTGAATTTTCATTTTGCATATTTTGTATAAATTGTACTAGGTAACTGTATTTTGTATAAGTTATATTCGCTAAAAATTTGTTAGTCTTTAAATTTTGTAGCATCAGTTAAATAGGACTAAAATATTTATTCTAATTATAATTTTGATCTCATCAAAAAATATTAATTTTGTATTTTTATTTTTGTTTTAATAACAAAAACTCCTAGTCGAAGTATCAACTGCCAACAAAAAGAATTTGAAAAAAAAAAATTACTTTTTTGTGCGCCAACAGGCAGTTTTTAAATTTAAAAAAATATACATATATTAAAGGGTTTCTTATGTTACGGAAATTCTTTTCGCAATACATGAGTTTATGAAATCAATTTCAAAATTTTTAGCAGATAATAAACGCAAAACGATTAAGACTATTTTTCTGACTCGTTTAAATTAATAACTTGCAAAATTACTATGAAAATAAGAAAATTAAAAGTTTTCTTAATGAAAATTCTTATTTATATACATATGTATGTATGTATGTATGCACAGAAATGCTACTAATTTATATTATTATTAGTTTTAACCCGATTATTTGATTAAAGTAAAATAAAAAGAAAAACATTATTGAAAAAACATCTTCAATAAAATTAAATTTATAAATAATTATTTGACTTTATTTTTTTTCAAAATAAGATAATTTTACCATAAAGTTAAATTAAAAAAAAGAATCATTTTTAATTGTTGTTATAAAGCCCAGTAAATTTTAACTTACAACAATATACAAAATATTGATTAATCAAGTAACAAAATTTTAGATAAAAAATAAAATATAAATAAAAAACATTACTGTAACGAAACTTTTTGATATCTAGGTATTAATTTATATGTTCTAAAGAATATTTTTAAATGAAATGCAATACATGACTAGTCCATTATTTTGATATTGAGATCAAAGAACGTGACGAACTAAAAAAAAAAATAAAGTATCAATTTACTTTTGTATTCATATAATGATTATTCACCTTTAAATGAATTTTTCTTTTTTGGATATGTATATCTGATTTGAAGTGTTCGCGTTACAATGCACATATACATATTATAACAATATTCTAATTTTATTTTCATTTCATAATTTTTATTTTAGTTACTTAAAATGAAGCCATACATATAATATAACAATTATAGTAAAGTGAAAATCTTAAAATCAATATGAATAATGTCAATATTTTCAAATTGATTATAACTCTACATAGGATATTCGATTAAATATGCTTTCATCATGTATTGCATTTCGGCCATAAAATTATTTTGCTAATATAAGTCTTGTTGAAAAGACAAACTCATACAAAAAAGAATTTACCTAATTAAAAATTGGGGAAGTTCAAAGGGAAAGCAAAACAAAATTAATTTAATTAAGTTGTTTTATTATACAAGATGAAGAAAAAGGTAATAAATACAGTAAATAATTGTTTCAAAATCTTCTTATAATACTTATAAATAAACCTTAAAACTTTTTTAGTTTAGTATAATAATTTGAATTTTTCTATTATTCTCTAACTTAAGAGCTTACATGTATTTAAATAAAAAACATACAATTAGAAAAATACGAAAATATGTGATTTTTTAAAAAAAATATATCTGTGTAATAATAAAATGCATATTATATAATATAAAAAAGTATTTAAAAGATATGTTTTATTGAGATTATTGTTCTTTTGTGTGGAACTTAGACTTCCAAACCCTTTTTTTGCTTAATTACAAGTTTGTAAAAACAAAATAATCCTTCCCAGATTCGTAATGTCTTGAATAATGTCTCTATATGTGCGTACCATATTTATTGTTATTATTAATATTATTATTATTAATATCACCTGAATATTTGACATTTTTCTATGTATACATATTTTTCTTATTTAAAATATTTTTGAATCACTACTTATTTAAAAAAACTCTAATACATATACCAATTTTCAAAAAAAAAAAATTTTTGTAGAAATCTTCGTACATGCTAATTTTAAAAATTCATAGATCTGAGTTATTAACATTTATGTATTAAGATCTTAGATAAACACGTAACAAATAAAAGTAGGAAAAAAAACTGAATATAAATATAAAAACTTTTTTCAAATATTTTTAAATTATATTTAAAACTTAAAATAAAAGTTAAAAGCTAAATTATAATAATTATCGAGATGAGTTCGAGGTACAGGTGTGATAGTTCAATTTGCTCTGTATCCGACGCTAAAAGTGAACCGCTTACCTGCAATGGATTCTGCAAAAAAAACTTTCATGGGATCTGCTTAAGTGCTACTAGAGGATGGTACTCCTCTTTCCTTGCGCAGTATTTTGTGTCTGAGAGATGCATGGACTATCACTCTAAACTGGGCGACTATCATTCTAGACTGGGCGACTTATATTGTATCCAGTAAGCAAAAAGATGAATAGATGGGACTTGCCACAAAATGTATGGACACAGTTAGAAGTAATTCGGCATCTTTTAATGAAATGACCCAGGATTATGAAGCTCTCAACTGTACTTTAAGCATACTATCCTTCAATGATAAATGGAGTTATCCTTCAATGATAAATTTCAAAAATTTATGGACTTCAAAAGCGCAGACATGGAATCTGTGAAGGAGTCAGTTAGTTTTCTTAATGAATGAATTATGTATGAAGGTCGATGCCAGCCTTCCATCGTTTGATACTTCTAAGTTCAACCAGACGTATATAACACCCTCATTATGACCGGCGAATGGCTAGATGAGTCGAATGGACTAGGCGAATTGAATGACATTTCAAATTATGTTCGGCGAATGCTTTTATTCGCCAGATCCAAAACCTTGCTACCGCAAGACATCAAAAAACCAACCGAAAATAATGAGTTTAACATAACACATACATACATACATATGTACATTGTTTTTGTGTTTTTGCATTAATTTATTTAAATGCTCGAATTATTTTTGGTTCGTTTTTTTCACAGTTAAATCAATATTAAGCAATCAATATTTTTTACAATAATTGTAGAATTACAGATAGTTTAGATTTTTCCATTATATCACTATAAATGCTATAATATCCAATAAGAAAAAAACTCATGTATTATTTTGGTTTTTGGTTTCTTTCGCAAAGCTTGTGACACGGAATTTTCATACAACAGATTTAGCAGCTCATTCGCCTACAATTTAGGCAAATTCGCTGATCATAATACTCCGAAAATTTCATTCGCTTCGCTGATCATAATAAGGGCCTAATTTCGAACATGAAGGATGCGTGTTGCCAGACCAACAAACTATAGAGTTATGAGTTTTTTCTGGGATCAATAGTTACACCATGGTATGCCATTTTCAATCTTGGTGAAGATGCATCTTTGCAGGATAAGCTAACTTATTCTGAGTCTTCTGCAAATTTTGTCACGTCCGTTGCCTTTGAAACTAACTGCTCAAATGCCGAATCTTGCCCTAATTCCATCAGATCTTCTAAGCAACCAGTCAGTAGATCTTCTCTCAACTCTTCGCCTCGATATTCAAACCTATTCGTTTCTAAATTCCTGGTGATTACCGCAGTAAATAGCCTTAAATTGTTATTAAGTAGTAAATTCAAGTGCGCTATTGTACCCGTAGCTAATATCACTCCAAGTAGCTTAAAATAAAAGCCCAAATATGATTCTTTCAAAGTTACTGTACCTTCTACCATAGGTGATGACATAATTGGCCATAAGTTTTAGCATTTAGGTGCAGGTATTCAGTATTTTAGTCATTATGACTCTTAGCTTAAGTCCATACTTACTAACTTACTTAATTAACGTCTCCAAAATATTAACAATATAGACAACTCACCAGGCACTGATTCATCTCGTAAAGGCAAGCATACTACGCACATTCTTTCCCATTACAAAAATTATAACAATACTTTTAAACGAACAATAACAATAATAAAAAAAGTAAAATAAACAATTTTAAGAATAATAGAAGCAAAAATAAAAATAATAATAATTTTGATATATGTATTAAGAATAACAATGACGGCAGGCTAGTCACCTACATACCTAGTTAACTCTATGACGCTATGAAACCTAGGAGTGAAGAAGAAAAAAAAAAAAGAATAATAATAACAATACCAATAAAAATGGTAACAATAAAAATAATTTTAATAATAATAATTATAATTACAATTATAACAACAATAATAAACTTAAAATAAAAATAATGTAATAATAATAAAATTATGATAATAATAGTGTCGATAGCAATAATAACAATGGAAGTGAAATTAGTCACAAAGGCAACAGTGACAATATAAATACTAACAACAAAAATACGGACAATGGAATCAAATATTCTAATTTTATTCGGGATAAAATTTTCACAGCTAGCACCCAATTTTCTTTATCTTAACCCACTCAA